AGAGAGAGAGAGAGAGGATTACTGTATATGTTCTTTGTATTAATGTACAGTGCATTGAGCACTTCTTTGTGGAAATGCGCTATATGAATGCCCTGTATTATTGTTATTATTATTATTATAAGCCAGTATTGTTGATACACGGGTGCCGGTTACTCGGGAAAACAAACATATTGAATTATTGATTTGCTCATTGTATAGGCGCTTTAACATGGGATTCACATTGAGCTGCACAGAGAGTCATGGGTACCTTTTTATGTCCCAGTTGGAGTAAACAACTCATACCCTGTGACACAAACCCGTACAGCTGTTATCCAAACCTTTTGGTAATTTCAGATACACCCAAGAGGCTCATTTGGTTCTATAAAACGTCTCTTTTTAAGTAAGATTTTTAAACAGCACTTGCAACACAAATATGTCACTTAAGTGCTAAAGGTGACAGGTGTTACTGGAGAGCAACATGCTAAGAAACGAAGGAGGAGATATAAGGATGATAGTTGTATGATAGGAAAGAAGGAGGAGCAAACCACGTAAGAGCACCTGCCAACTACCCACAAAACGTCTCTTTAATCACAATAGTTAGTCATTATTGAAGGAAACACAATGTTCATTACCTTTGCCCCAGGTTGGCCCAGTGTAATCAAAGGCCTGCTTGGACTCAAAGATGATTTTGGACACGAATGTTGCTATGACCCCAAAACAGGCAGCGTATGAGATTCTTTCCGATCGAGTCAATATGCTCATAGGGCTGTGGAGAAAAAAACCACTGAGTGTGTTATCAATCAATCAATCAAGCAATCAATCAAGCAATCAAGCAATCAAGGTATCAAGCAATCAAACAATCAAGCAATCAAGCAATCTATCACTAGGTCGGTCAGTCGGTTGGTCGGTCGGTCGGTCGATCGGTCAGCAACACAGTCCTAAACATTCCATCGTGTCTTGATTTAACATCTAAATATTAATGTTTAATCTAAAAACAGAAATATCCCTATCTATGTATTGACCTCTCTTAAATCACAGTGCTTAGAGGTATTATTAACCAAAGCAACGAGAATAACTGATGTCAAGGCTGATCGAATTCAAACTGACAGCGATTGATTGTGATGGTGATGATGATGACGATGATGACGATGATGATGACGATGATGATGATGATGATGATGATGATGATGATGATGATGATGATGATGATGA